GCGTACTTTGGGGTAGTATACTGTCCCAAAGTCCGCCACGTGCGGACTTTTGACCACTATACTGTCTAAAAGTCCCTGGTGCGGACTTGTGACCACGCACAGTGTTCCAAAGTCCGCCATGTGCGGACTTTTGACCCCATGAACTGTCCTAAAGTCCGCCAGGAGCGGACTTTTGCACGGAATTTAACCCCGGACAGCTTCCAGGGGCCCTGGGATACGGACCCGTCCGGTCCTCCCCTAATAACCGGACGGATCGGACGGGCATCGGGCACTCCGGGCCTGGGTTGGGTAGCTAGGCCAAATTATACGCTCCCAGCCAAGAAGCGTATCAAGCGTATCAATACTCTGGACGGCGGGGCCTGGTCCGGTTGCTAGGGTGATTTGCGTCCGGAGTGTACGGTCACGGAGGGCTACAGGACTCCGTCCCATAGCTAGACTGCGCATGTAATCACCATGTGATCACTTGTGTAAAAGTGGCACAGCCCCATGGAATCATGTATGTAACATGAATGGTGTCCTGTTCCTTGCCCTGGGCAAGAAATGGGTCACAAGTTTTTGAGTGACCTTGTGTTCTCAATGAACACAGTAAATTACTGCCTGTACCTTGAGATGGCAGAGTGTTGTAATGATATTGACTGCATATCCATCTTTGACACACCCCTTTTCTCGCCCTGGGCGAGCAATGGGTCATTTGCGTATGGACTTGGAGGGCTCAGGGTGTAGGGAGGCGGGTCCGTACGCAACCGGGCCAATTTGCGTACGGAGCGTACGGTACCGGGGTGCTACGGGACTCAGTCCTGTAGCTAGAGTTTAATTGATAGAATAAAATAAATGAATACATTTCTAGCTGTTTAAGGCTGCTGGATTTGACCATAAATGCAGAATGAGATTAATTGCGCCAGTGGGTTTTTTTTGCAGATCAAATCTGGGGACTTGTGATTTCATATAAGAACAAAGTTGAGTATCGATAGTTTCAATTTCACGCAATTGACTCATGAGATTGGCTAGATGTGGAAGTACTTCAATAGCTTGTACAGGCCAGCGGAAGTTGATAGGGTTTCTAGTTTTTGAGGTATAGCCACAGATTGACTCAAAGATTGTCCAGAGGAGAAGGAAGGAT